GCCCGAGGAGGTGGTCTCGGCGCCCGCCTGTGTCGGTCCGGGGACTTGCCGGTTGGGAGGGCCTGTGTTAGAGGAGGGCGGTTACTCGGGCTGAGGCACGCCAGCCTGTGCTGCTCCGAAATTGAAACTGTGGCGCGGTCTGCACGGCGAGCTCAGCAGCTGTAAGGCCAGCCGTGTCTCTCAGCGGCAGGGGCTCAGAGTTACGCTGGTTTACCTGGGGGGGTGGGAACCTGGCTGGAATTACTTTCTCGTGCCTCTTAACTGTCCGGAGTGTGCTATCGGACAGCTGTAGGAGCATTAGCAACGGGTAGCTTCCGAGTTGTAGTCCGAATTGTTAGTTCCTGTGCAGCCTCGAGTACATCACCTTAAAAGCGGGCTCTGTTTCTCCAGCTGTGAAATGGAGATACTCAATAAATTTTTCAGGAACATATTAAAGGTCTGTAAGGGTAATTGCAAGAGAGGTTACTGTTTCTAAAACTGATAGCTCTATTTTCTAGTAGATACTTGTAGTACTTTATTTATGGTAAATTTATTAACACGAGTAATAAGTTATGACTTCAAAAGTACTTTCCATCAATTTCACCTGTTTTAGATAGGTCACACTGAGTCTTTTCATACTTAAATGGAAATCTCAGCTGTAGGTGGGAGGAAAATGTTCTAATTATATCCCTTATACTCGGTAGTTAAAGCTAGCTGAAAGTATTTCTCTGTGTTTGCCTCTGACAAGTTCTGCATGCTGCAGAGCTACCCGTGAGCGATGTGGATTTTGTTGTGTCTTAGAATCCATTGACAGAATGATTAAGAAAGCGTTGATTTGAAGCTTTCGGTGAGGGAGAGGTAGGAAAAGGAATGGCGGGAGGCAAAGTTAGTGGCTGCACTAACACTGCTTGTTTAACGTCTGCAGTGCATTTTACCTTGTGTTCACCAACTGTGTTAACACTTGCAAGCAAACTGCTTTGTCTTTCTATAGTATGAAAGGTCCATAAAACTAGTCCCACTAGTACCAGAAGGAAAAAAGGTCACAGAAGTATGCTGATGAAAGCACTTGGATTATTTTCATCGCAGGTATCACTTTGGGCGTAATTCTTCTGCATGTTCCACATTACCTTCAGCTTTTCCCAGCAGCTAAAGATTTGTGGAGCTCAGTCAGGCTCCGTTGAATGAGAAGTTGTCAAGACATAAATGGCTTTTTAAGTTTTGTAGTATTGCATCACTGCAATATTGCTTTCTATTTAAAAAATGTGCTACTGTATTTAAAAAGACTGCACACAATAGATACTTATGCTGATAAAACTTCGGAATGAAAAAATGTCTGAGGTGAACATGCTTTTTCTTCATTTGTTGAACTTTCATGAGTTTAATATGTCAAGAAGAGTAACTTTTACATCTCAGTAGCACAAATTAGCTAAACAAATATTAAAAAGTTTTAGATCCAGACTGTGAAAACTAACAATGAAAGATTCTGGGTATAAAGCATGTCAAAAAGAAAATAAAAGTAAAGGTAAGGTAGAGTGAAAAGGAGAAATGTTTTAGTTGTTTCAGAATGTGTGCTTAATTCACTGTTTCTTTTCCCAGGGTCTCAAATCGTTTTACTAATGCCAGATACAAGCTTAATGCTTGTTGAGGTAGATGGTAATTAAATCTAGCCTGGAGACTGTGCCTTGCAGAAATGACATTTGTTCATAGCCATACTTGTCCCTGCCTCTTTTTGAAGTACTTTCTGTCCTGTTTGTTTACTTTGTCCCCATTATGGCAGCATCTTAAATTCTCTGCAGATCTACTGAGGGATATAGAAAGGCACAATGCATCTCGAAGTCTTCTCAGTGGGCAAAGGGAGAGCAGAGGCCAAAGAGGGCAGAGTCTCTGCAAAAGTAAAGACTTAAATAGTATTGTTCTTCTCACTAACAATGCTTTCCTTGTATTTGTTAATCTGAACAATTCTCAGTGAAATGTCTCTAGAAGTTAATAAATTGAAGAAAGGTTTGGGGGATTTTGGTTTGGGTTGGTTTTTTGATTATGGAAAAATGGAATATTTTGGTGTTAAATACAGTGTAGCACACTTCCACTGCTCACTAAAATTCAATTTCTTTTGACATACTGAAGTAGGATAAAATATGAACATAACTGGGAATATGCCACCATCTAGTCTCCTAAGTAACACTTAAGCATAAAAATACATATGTGATTAAAGCCTGACAGCATTCTCTCCAAGCAAAGAGAAATCACCTGGAAAGCTTCAGAAACCCCCAAAGGCTGCTCTGCTCCAGCAATAGGAGCTCTTGATACTGTCTAATGAGCTTTTAATATTGTTGTTCAATTGTATTTGCCTCAAACAAAAATTCGTATTTTAAGTCTTCAGGTTCACATGTTAAAATGATAAGTATAGTGGTTATCCAAAAGACTTGGAAGTCTTAACAGTTACTGCTATTAGAAGAAAAAGTTGAGATATCAACAAAATGTTTGCAACATGCTTGCAGGCTTTTACAAGAAACCAGAACTTGTTTTTTGCAGTTACGAGTTCTGCCTGACTCTCCTATTGCTTTGGCTTGTCTAGCCATTTGATAGCTTTGAAATGAATGTGTTTTATAGGTATTAATTAAAAGGAACCTGCATCGTTTTATATGTTCTGCCTGGATGAGGCCACAGTGATGATAGTTACAAACATCATAATGCAAACACACAGTGCTTATCAGTTGTCAGTAGACCATTGATTAATATGCCTGGTAATAAGTGTTGCAAGTATTGCTTCATAAACAAATTATCCAAAGTCACTCCACTGGTCTGTCAGTCTCATGACGCAGAAATCTATATGTCCAAAACTGTTCTCAGCGAGGCGGAAGAAGAAAAGAGAAAAGTTTGGCCAGTTTTTCTGTCTGTGCGGTGTTGAAGGCATTTCTCCTGCTGGCTGTATGCTGGCCAGGCTGCAAGCAGATTAATTAAGTTTGTGAACTTCAAGTAAGAAAAGGGATTTGGAATAGTCTTCTGTATTGATTTCCTTATTTATATGGCTACTCAGTGTGAATTCGCTAGGAAAGGGCATGTATTCAATACTTACTGATTAATAGTCAAAATTTTCTATTTCATGGTAACTTATATACTCTCTGTACAGTGTTCCTTCACCTTTGCCAAATGCTCAAAGGTAATATTTCATATTTCAGTGTAAATAGGATACTTTTATTTCTTCCCTATTATTCTAATTATAGTGTAATTTTCCAGGCAATCTGAAGCTATCTTCTGCTACCAGTAATATTTTTTGATTTAGAATTTTCTGAATTAATCCTGTGGCTCTTTGGAGCATGAAAATCTGTAAAAGTTCTATGTAAACCCCATTATACTATGGGACTTTGCAAATCAGAGTACTGAGTTTTGTTGCATGCATTAATTTAAAATATGGGTGGTTTTTAATTCTGTTTTGAAATTGTTTTTGTCAATCATAAGGTACATTCTTGCAGGAGTTAGCTCTTCTGGTCTGACTGTACTATCTCAGATCAACCTAATCACTTTGTAATGCAACAGTGTAAATAGCAACATAGCACAGGTTACTTACCGAAGAAAGGTTTTGTTATGGGTTAATCTTAAAGTTGGAAGAGTAGTATGGGGACTCCCTATAGTCTTAACTGTGTCTTTTCTGGGGCATGAAGGTTTGATCCTTAGGGCATTCTAGATTTCTACAGCACAAATAATGATCAAACAAATTCTGTCCATTACCATTTGGCCTGGAAAGCACCGTCCTTTCTGTTGTCAAACAATACAGCTGTTGCCTTGGAGAGAGAAATCAACCTTTGCTGGCCCAAGAACTTTGGGTACCTCATGTGTGCAAGCTAAAACCCATTATCTCTCTACTCGGCAAGTCTGATAGGACTTCCTAGCTCTAGAAAAGGGCATTTCAGGCGCATTACCAAACATAATTTTAAGGCTTTCTCTGCCTGAGAAACTTCACACTAGCAAAAACAAGAATTACCATGTAATGATCCAGTTTAATTTCAGTTGTTCCTCCATCTGAAGGCTGGATGTTGTCCAAACAAAGAAGGTCATAGAGCAGACTACTAAAGTGTTTAATGTATTAAACTACCAACGTCAAAAAAATTGATAAATTCTAAAGGCTGTGGTGTAGACAAGGTATTATAAATTAATATTTGTATATTGTTGTACTTGTGTTTGACTCAATTTTGTTCAGCACAGAGGAAGAATAACAACTATTATCAATAGGAAGAAAAACTGATGTGGTTTTGGGGGGATGTTTGTTAGGTTTTACTTCACTGGCAATCTGTTTCATAATCAAAAAGAAAGGGTAGCAATTTGATGTGAATTTTGGGATATATAGTGGTTTGGGTTTTAAAATCCATCCTCTTCTAGCCTGAAAATTTTTTTAAATTCCCCAGGGGGGGAACATGCAAAACTGCTACAGTAGGCTCACAAATTGTCTGCTCCACCTTCATCAGGGAAAAGACCTGTCATCAACATTCAAAGTATACTCTTCTCTAATTGGTTTTGCTCTAGCACTGCTCTGTTCAAGAAGATTGAATCTATGTTCCTACTCTTGGAAGGTAAAATAAGTGCCACAAGAAACAGAACTAATTCCTACTACAGTAGTTACAACTTGTAGAGGAATTGTTTTAAACTATGGTGGAGTAATCAAGCCTCAGTTAATGGTCTGAGTAACAGCAGTGTGGATTTTGATTTGGAAAATTGTGCCTTGCCCCTACACCTATAAATACGTGTGGAAGAAGGAGGATTTTCCTCACAGATAAGATGAAATGGATAAGAGTAGTAGGAGGAATCCTATCTTATATAAAACATGAACAAAATTAAAAATCTGGCTCTCAGTCACCTTGTTTAAGTTGCCTTTTTGTGCCTGAATTTCCCTATTTAGAAAGAGGAGCCAATGATACTTACACTTCTTTTTTTATGAACTCCTTGGTCATATGCAGACAAAAAGCTCCATGTGGGAGTGGAGTGTATCACTGAATAAGGGGATTTTTGTGTGAGACTGGGATGTTGACTGGTTGCAGTGACTCATTCATTAAAATGACTCTGATACAGGATTTTTGTTTCTGTAAACTGAATGTACATACCTGCTATGTCTGTAGAAACAATTTAAACGGGCAAAGAGAATACCACTTGCACAGCGCTTAAATCTACAAAGTGTTCAACTATCGAGATTATACTGAGTCAGATCCTGTTTTCTTCCTTATAAGAACAATATTTCAAATAGTATGTTTTTTTCCTAGGAACAGCCCAAGGGAAGAGTCGCGCACTTCTTTGCAATTAATGTGACAGCTGAATTTGGGTAAAGCTATTAAATTTTCTTCCCTGCAACTTCCTGAATTCCTTTGTGACATTGCTAAAGGGATATATGTTCCTCTTCCCTTTCTCAGTCTCACTAAATATACCCTTGTGGCTTAGAATAATGTGAATTTTTCAGTCCTAGACTGGCCTGCGGATTCTGATATCCTTCATACCAACATTCCCACTCCATTGGCCCAACTTAGTTCCTGTGATTTTTCGTGAAATATGGCCTGTGGACTAACCATCCTCTGTAGCGGCTGTTAAATAAAAGTTATGTTAGTTTAACAACGGAAACAAGTTGGATTTTTTTCTCCAGAGAAAAGAGAGCTGCCGATGGCAGTCTAAAAAATCTTACTGTCACAGAGCATCTTTCTAAGCATTGATTCTTCTGCTTCCATTCTAAGTCATTGAGGGAGCTGTTCAGTTCCATGGGATTAAATTGATCATTGTTGGACTGCTGAGAATTTACTTGGTGTTTAGTTTGTATTGCTGTGGTGTTTAGGAGCCTTGATTATAAAACCTGTTGTGGTAGATAACATATAGGGATAATACATGGGGGCAGAGAACAGGAGTAGAAGTAAACATCACTCCCTGGATGCAGTTCCAGACAGCTCTGCTGTAGAGTTATTTCTGCATAAAGTGAGCATTGCTGACCAGTTCAGTGCAACTCTAAACTGTCAAACTGTGCTTTGACACTCTGTACCTTAACGGTATTTTGGAAATGTCGGGAATGCTACTCTTCAGATACTTCTCATACCTCTGTGTACCTCAACAAAATGGAAAGTCACATATTTACACAGCAGAATAGAAGTTCTGTTTTGATTCTAACTGTAACTGACCTAAATATGGTAGCTTTGCCTGTTTGGTTTTGTTTGGTAGATCTGCCTTTTTTTTTTTTTTCTGGTCTGGATAACTGGGAAGAAAAAAAGCTCATACACTGTTAGCATGTGCAGTATTGCTAATTGTTTATCATATAGGTGGCCTAAAGCACATTTCTGTAACGTTGCATTTGTTCAAAATATATTTCCAGTAAATACTAGTTGTGGATGTAATCTTCAGTTGTCATATAATAAGTACCCAAATAAAACTACCTGTATGTCCTCCTCCTATCCATGAACATTTTGTTAAAATGACTTGTGGTGTTCAAATTGTGATAAAGGCAGGAAAAAGTTCAGTTTTGTGAGCTTGTGGTCAAAGTAACACTACTCATTCTGCATACCTCACTGCCCCCAGAGTCTGCAGTACTGATGCAGATCAACAATCCTTACAGTTCAGCTCTTGATTAATCCTTAGATTTCCATCCCTAATATGCTTTAAATGATGTAATGGTATTACAGTGGATGTAGTAGGTGAACATTGCAAGAGACCTTTGCCTATACTGCTGTGCAAAAGAAGATCAAATCTGGTCTTAGTGGGCTTGTTTTGCATGCCTAGCTCTGTAACCCTCAGCCTATTCATACTGCCTTGCACCTGGTGATAACCTCTGTGTTTCAAAGAAATGTAATTTATAGAAAACTAACCATAATAGGATTCTAAGAAAATGGTTGTAACCATTAAAAAATCAAGGGAGAGGAAAATTTCTTGGACTTCTAGAGTTTATATTTGTTGTTTAGACCTTTCTTTAAAGTTCCCTCATTCAATGTAGAAACATTGGCAATCTGTTTGGGGATACCAGCATTTTTTTTTATTTCATACCCATGAGTTCAACCTGCTCTCTGAGCAGTATTTTAAAAGCAGGCTTTACTATGCCATTCACCACATTTCAGGGAAATGTGACTTTCATCTTCTGCACTTACAGTCATGTCCCTTGTCCTCCCTGCCAGCTAGACTGGAAGAGGGAAAGGAGAGCAAGAACTCCTGAGTACTAGTAGTTTGTAGACAGCTTTTGAGCTGTGGAAGTATTAGCCTTATCTCTTGTGTAGCTTCTTACTCAATTTAAAGTCCTATTGGCAATTTTAAAATGTTATCAGCAGTGCTGTATATTTGAATTTCATTGGCAGCACAGCATCTGCTTGGTTTGGGTACTTGGACTTGCATTTTATTTGTGGGCATGCACCTAAACTGATTTGAAACCTATACTGTGAATCACTGTATACAGAAAATGTTAAATAACATTTATTCACTGCAAGGAAAGTATGGAATTAAGCTATCGTCATCCAATAAAACTTGATTTTGTACAGCATTTCTCATGCAAATTATGTTTGAATGCTTCAGAAGTAAATAAGGGGTAAAAACTGAAGGGGTAAAGAGGCATTTTCAGTAAACATAGCAAGGAGAGAGTATTCCTCTTTTTACAGAAATTAGGTAGGTAGATGAAAGAAATTACAGAAAGGTGTGCGTGTTTGTGTTTGAACTAGGCTGGCAGGATGCAGTGCTCTTTCCTATATATCAAGGTAAGTAAAAAAGATAACAGAAACTGGGACAAAACAAAACCAGTGATTTTGAGTAGAACCAAATCTTCACCACTGTTCCAGTGTTTCTGGTCAGAAATAAAATTTGTTCTTGACTGGAAAGGAAGGTCTTGGAATATTTTACATTAACACATCTTTTTGTCATCTTGCAGAGCGTTTCTGTGTAGCACTTGATTAGCTACTATGAGCTTGCTATATAGTGATAACAGTTGTGGAGCCCGAGACGTGGAAAGCGGCTGCTGTGCAGCCATGGCCAGTGCCTGCAGCGTTGGAGCAAAAGAAGACAGCGTAAGCGTCAGCAGTGGGACTGGAAACCCTCCAAGTTCTTTCCCAGAGGAAACACAAGGATATGATGTGGAGTTTGATCCGCCCTTGGAAAGTAAATATGAATGTCCAATCTGTTTGATGGCTCTTCGGGAAGCAGTGCAGACACCATGTGGACATCGTTTCTGCAAAGGCTGCATTGTCAAATCGATAAGGTAAAGGAAAATATATGGAAGTTGCTTTTAAGCAAAAGTTCACTTACCAAAGCAGAGCAGTTTAAGGGCAATGTAAACTGAATAGAACTGCTTAAGGTGCATTACCAGTAAGCGCTAATAGAACTCTGGGAATTTATAATTAATTAAAGATGATTTCTAATAAACACTATGTATGGCCAAAATACCACGAGTTTGGAGGTTGCATGAGCTTTAGATATTTTGCCATTTATACAAATTTACTCAGGTTATGAATCTAAAAATTTGATTGAATAAACATTAAATAATGATTTTTAAAAAGTAGCCAAATCGTCCAAATAAATTCCATTTTCAGCACAGGATTATAAAACCTGTCTTTTCCCTGTGATTGTTTCTCTTGATAACTACAGGCAACTACAGACAACATGGTTTCTTGGTGCAGATATGGCAATTCATGCTTTCAGTTCTTCACTTGAAATCAGCTGCTTCCTTGTTGAACTGGAAGAGAGAATGTAATGAGGGAATAGTCTTGAACAAAGCGTTGAGAGAGGAAACTAGGTGGCATATGGGGGAGTGGGAATGAGGTATGAAGGCAAGAACATGCTGGGCTCATAAAAGTGAATGATTGGAACGGCAGAAAGTACGCTGGTAGAGTGTATTTCCCTCAAACTTGGAATACAGTCATCAGTGTCCCACATGTCAGTGAGTATTGGAACACATTGATGGAAGGCTAGATATTATGCTGTAGGGTTTTTCCTTCTCAGCATAAGCCAGATTTTTTCTTATCTTATCTTTGAGCTCACTTAGCTCAAATGTCACAGTACTTTGGTAGGAATCTAAATATTTAATTCTGTGTGACCCACATATAGAATTGGCTAATTTCCAACCTTACTTTGCACACCTTTGTGTAAAGATCATCAAACTGTCTCAATATTACTATACAATGTTGTTTTTGCCAGGCATTTATTTTTAGCATGCAAAATGGACAGTGCTTTCTTGATTAGTTTTCCATACTATTTATACATAGTTCTATTCCATTTCTTTTTCTCCATGATCCATCATTTATAGCTCACTAAATGAATAGTATGCCAGCAATTATGTTCTCTGAATACAGTATTTTGTGGTTTTTGTGGTCTTCTCTGTAGCTTCTGTCACAGTTGTGTGTGATGCTACTGTATTTCTTCATGGCATCCCCTTTAGATCAAGGAAGGAAATGTTGGAGCTGAGTATGAGAAGACAAACTTAATTTTGCATTCCCTACTTGTGATAGCAAAAGAGCAGGCTATTTTCCTTTCTAGCAAGCGCAGAAATTTATTGTATGTGTTTGCAGCACAGTTTTTGTTAACATTAGTTTCATCAATATTTCTGAGAAAAGGATGCAAATTCATTATCCAGAAAATGCAGAATACCACCAGTGTTTATCCATGAAAAGTGACTCGTCTGTAGATTCTGCAGAGGAAGCTGAGAGATATTCAGTTCTCCACTAACCATACCATGAGATCACCCTGCTCCCTTAGTCCCTTGCATTGTTCACTATGTTCCTACTTCTGCAAGAAAAGTACATCAGGCCTTACCCAACTGCATCACTCAGTGGTATTCGCGTCAGCTGGGTGCATGGAAGTAGGCAAAAAAACCCAAACCTGAACCTGTCAGCTTTGACTGTAATCCAGTTCCCTAGGCATGAGCAGTTGGCTTCACTTTCTGGCCTTTGGTTTGCACATTCAAACCTAAATTCTTTCAAGAAGTTAATGTACATAATTTCATGCAAGATTGTAAGCATTGAATTAGGCATTTGTACTAATAAAGGCCATTAGATTTTGGAATTCCTTACTTGCTCTCTCTCATGGAAGTATGATGTTTATAAATCCTGAAGGTAAATTAGTCAGTACTTAAGTATACTGAGATTTAGAAATGTCTACTCACCAATCATTTCAAAGACAACAGAATTCCTAGGTTGAAAACTGAGGGGAAAATGACTAAACTTAAAATTACCAAAAATGTGTGTCTCATTTCCAGTCTTTCAGATCCTTAACAGCTAAGGTGATCTTGTTTTCTAATCCTTCTGCTGATGAGCTGCACTGTTACAGTCATTGGTTAGAATTTACCACAGGACTGAGTGAGGAACTGCAGTGAACCCATGCTCAGAACGCAACATCTTGTAGCAGGTAGAGAAACTTCCTTCTTAAACCCCAGATATGGGAAATGGTTTCTCTTCCTTTTTAAATTAACAGAGCATTTGCTCTGCTCAAAGTTTTAAGTCTGCAAACAGTTTCAATGTCCAGAAGCTTTTGCTTCTTTTACACCCTTTCCCTATTTTACTTCATTTCTATCAATAGTGTTGACTGTTTCAGTGAATACTGAACACAGGTGGAAAGCATTTTTCATCTTGGAGACTACAGATCATCACTGTGATATTTCAGACGTTTCATTGATGGTAACTGTTTTCCCTCATTCCCCACTGAAATGTCTGGAGTGCAGTTTGAGTGAATGCTTGTGAAAGCAGAGAAGACAACTTAAAGTGCCAGACCCCTTTGAATCCCTGAAGGGCTGAATTGCATGTTTAATTGGGATCCATGGATCAAGCTATTGATTTGGACTATGTAGTGTCTACAGTACAATATTGATTTGTAATGTCTACAGTACCATATTGATTGGTATCATTGAGAAGCTTCTACAGAACTAAAATGAAAATGGAAAGTGATTTTTTACATTCTCTTAGTGGGTTTTTTTCGTTATGCGATTGTCACAGCCTTTATTTGATGAGGAAGAAATTGCTTCCTTTTATTCCTCATTTCCGCACTGTCTAGCTCAAGTGAATACAGAGATTAAGGATTTTAAATGATAAAGGATGGACAAGCAGTTTTTGAGTAATTGCTTCTTGTGGCTTACACAAACAATTGTAGTTGTCCATGTTGAAGAAGTTGTGGCTGCAAATAGAAAGATTCTTTTAAAAAGCTTTTAAAGACTGGAGTCTTAGATCTTACAATGTGAGGGACACGATTAGACCAGATGGATTTGATCACAGTAAATGTTTGCCTCCCAGAAAGTCTTGGCATCTTTTTAAATAAAGCTGTCTGAAGTGCTTTGAAGTACTGTGAGTCATGGTAGTGAAGAAGCTTATCTACCTAAGTAACTACAAATAATAATTTACAGATGTTACTGTCTAGAAAGTACTTGATTAGAAATTTTAGAAGAACTAAGTTCAGATGCAGTAGCTAATTAAATGTCACTGTAGTCTTTCTTCTCCTGTATCTTAGGTCAAAGCTGACTTAGGGCTTGTAGTAGAGCTCTCTAAATATCAGAACCTCTGTTTATCGGAAAAGCAGAATTATGAGCTGACGAGGGGCAGCAAAGAAAGCTTTGAGTGCCAGCAGTTCATCAAACAGCCAGCATGGCTGCAGTTAAAGGGTATGCCAACTGTTTCAGCTTCTAGGCTAAACTGCTCAGTTGCTAAAATCACAGATCAGGCTTTTTCTTCAAAGAAAATTATTCTGGCTTTACTTTTTATACCTATGTTTTAGTTTCAAGAGAAATTACAGGAATATTCACTGTACTTTGTAGCAGATGATTATTATTTCACAGGTACTGTTGTGGGTGGCACAGCCCAATGTGATAAATAATTCCAGCATAGGAAAGCCTCCACTGTAATGTAGATTAGAACTGAGGTGCATAAACTCAAATTGCACCTGTGCAATTCTGTGATAGGAAATGAATAGCAACATCTTTGTCTGCAGATGGATCTAAGCAGCCTTTTAAACATAATCCCAGTACTTGTAAATGGTGTTTGAAGTCTGTTTAATATACTACAATAAGTTATTGCTCTTTCCTTACTATAAGCATTGGAAAATTGCTATTCATTCTTATTTTACCCTTTGTCTGCTAGTTATTTAAACTGGGTATCTGGTAATCATTATTTAAAATTAATCTGTTGTTGGCTGTTATCATACAAGACTAGCTTTTCTGTGTAGAAATAAGGCTGCTGTCTTACCAGCAGGCCTACTGAACTATCATTATACTTCACTAAACAGGGTATTTGTAACCAAGTTATACCTGTGAAAACTGATTTCCTGTAGGTTGCCTGCGAAGTAAGGGAACTTTTCTGGGTTGTGACAAAGATCAGCACGCTGATCGTAGCTCAGGGAGCTATGAAACAAAACAGCACGCTAGGTATTTTCTTTTTTCCACTTGTTTAGGAGTATGACTATCAGACTTGTGGTGAGCTAGCTCTTGCAAGCAAAACCTAGGAAAGGAAGTTCATTGTCTCTTTCTGAAGTCTCAACTTTACCCCCGCTTCCTCTAGCAACGTTGCTGATGAAGGAGTTGCTGAGCAATTATTTCCTTTTCCAACAAAGAACACAAATTCCCTCCTGGTCTCCACAGCCCACTAGGTTCTACTTCCCCTCATGCTTGCAAGCAGTGACAATGATCTGGCCTTTGATCTTTGCACCACAAGTGCTCTCTGACATTTTTCCGCCCCATGTATTTTTCCATTTTATTGCTGTTTCCATTAGTGCTTCAGCTCAGAAGCTTTGATCCCTCATGCCTCTTTAACTGTATTACTTAATTGTGAATAGATATATTGACCTACTGCTTTCAGAAATGAGCTGATACTGGATATTTTTTTTTTTGAAGGTTTGGTGGAGATGATCCCTTTTTTTTACTCCATTTCTAATGATTCTTGTGTTTAAATGCAGGTAGACAGAACCTGACAAAGTGGAACAGGCTGTTAGTTCTCTTGTGCAAGTTGCATGCACCCGTGTTCCACCATCAGACTCCAAACTTTCATCAGTTAGCACTGACTTCCAGTCTGTTTGCGGTTAAAATGGCTTCATATACAACACCCAGTTCCAAATCCAGTGTAATTTTTATAGTTATTAGTAATTTTTGTGACTGGAGTTTTTTCACCCTTTTTTGCTGTATAAATAAATTGAAGGATGACCAACTGATCAAATGGTTGTACAACAAAAACAGCGAAATGGGCTATATGAAAAGTAATGCCAAATAGATGAAGTGAATGTGGAGGAAAAAAAAAAAAAAAGACATTTTTGCTTTTTCTCTCAGCTATGATCACCTTGGCTGTTTATAAAGTGAGAAAGAAAGGAGAGAAGGTCCAAGAATCTTTAAAGGATTGTTTTGAAATAGTATGTGAAATATTCTTTGATGTTTGAGCTATGTGAAGTACTTGCAGAAATGGGACTGTAAGTTTGTAGTTTCTTTACATCCTCCTCAAGTTTATTTCCAGAGTATCTATCATGGCATTTGTCCAAATAAAAACTATCGAGTTAGAAAAGTGCTGCGATCCCAGTCATGCCACCTCTAGTGAAACTTGCGTATTGTCAATTTCTCTGATGTGTATTGCATGCTTTCTGGTAATTGCCACATAAATGCCATTGTTTTCTAAGACTTTCTTAATGTGTTACAATTTGGCCACTAATGTCTTGCTAGTGTAAAAATATTTTAAATGAAGGGCAAAGGGAACTTGGAATCTCTTTTTCCTTTCTTTTCTGCACTGTAGAGACGCAGGTCACAAATGTCCAGTAGACAACGAAATTCTGCTCGAAAATCAACTTTTTCCTGACAACTTCGCTAAACGGGAAATCCTTTCATTAATGGTTAAGTGTCCCAACAAGGGCTGCAGTATGAAGATGGAGCTGAGGCATTTAGAGGTGAGAATTAGTTTTGAAAATATGGAACCTTGTTTTCATGGACAAGTAAGAATTCAAAATAACTTAACATAGATGGTCATACCTGATACCTGTTTATGCTGATTCAATGCATTGTTCATTCAAGACTATAGTTACACATATTTGTTTTTTGATGAGTCTTTAATTGTAATTAGGTGATTCTCAAATGAACATCATAGTGCATGAAAATTGTACTAATGCAGCTTTCTCTTTAGGATCATTCATGTTTGTCTTCTGATCAGCTGTATCTGTACTTCACACAAGTTCCCTAAAGTCAGTTTAATATTCCCTCAAAGCAGCTAGATATATTAGTTGAAGTAATTGTTTTAGAAAATAATATACAAAGTTAAAAGGATAAACATAAAGCTGAATTTTTACCTGAGAGCATTCTTAAAGCTCTGAATACATGAAGTCCTGATCTTAGTAATGGGACAATAACAGGCCATTGGTAAAGTCAGCATAAGTGTATAAGGATTTGCTTGCATGAAGGAAAGGTTGCAATTTGTTCCTCTTGTACGGGCTTTATCTTGAAAAAAGATGAGACAATAGTACCTGTCTGTCGTATCAAATCCCTCTTTTGTCCTTGTTCAGGACCACCAGTTGCAGTGTGATTTTTCCACTGTGGAATGCCCACAGTGCCAAGGAGCCTTCCAGAAGAACCATCTGAAAGAGCACATGACACAGGAGTGTCTGAGGCGTCAAGTCTGTTGTCCAAACTGTGCCACGTCTATGGCCTATGAAGATAAAGAGGTACTTTGCAGGAGTCTGTTTTTCAACCTTCATTCACATGGGTTTGCTTGTAAATGGAACATCAGTATTAAAAAAAAAAAAAAAAAAAATTTTGGTCTAGAAGAGCTCTTTGTGCTGCACAGGTGAGAAGCTGCCAACTCAGGACATTAGTCTAGAACAGGCGAAAGCTGGGGAGAGGATTGTGCTTAAATACAAACTTCTTGGGAACCCTGTGGTGTGAAAAGACTTGTGTAAGAACTATTGATTTTTGGCCTTACCATCAGAGAGGCCAGTATCTACTGCCAAAGTAACACACAAAGCAATATTTACATTCACAGTTTTTACGCCTGGCAGAAAAGATGTGTCAGGAGATGCATCTTTTGGGGATATCTGCTAACACACAAGACCAAGATAATTTCTGAATAATTCTCCTGGCTCTCCATTTTTTACTTTGGTGATACTGAGGATAGTCCTTTCCTTTTTGAGCTTCCATTTCTTTATCTGTATATGGATATGTTTTATCTCAAGGACTATTAATTTTATGATATCATGTCATGAACTGTAAAACAAAAATACCTCATATAGTCCAACAATACAAAAAAAAACCTTCAATATAGTTCCACTACAATTGAACATGAATTTCAGAAACTTCTGGATAAATTCAGACTCCTTTGGAGCATAAGAGCTTTAGGAAATAAAATATCTGCAACTTTATGAATCTCTTGTACGAGTCCAGGAAAAACCAGTAATTATAGAAAACATACTGTTCAGGGTAAGGGGATTGTCTTTGTTTCACAGTTGCATACAGTTAAATGTGAAATTTGAAATGTACATACAAATTTAACATCAGAGGTGATTAGCACTCTTTTAAATTGTGTAACTTTATTGATTCTTTCTTTCCTCTCTTTTTCTGTGTTTGATAACTAAGCTTCATGACCAAACCTGCCCACTCGCCAATGTATTTTGTGAATACTGCAACACGGTGCTCATCAGAGAGCAGGTAAGAGGCTACCTTTCTCTGTGTTATAATCTGGGTCAGATGTTTTGTATTTACATTGCTTCTTTAGTCTGAAATTAAACTTGAAGAAACAGTTTGTCTACTAGCTAATAAATCTCTACCTGTCTCTCTGAAAATGTTGCATCCAGTGCAGGTGTAATACTCTTTTAAATGCTGCTCCAGCTTGCAATTGCAGTCTGGTAAACCTCTGTAGGATTTTTGGCTGCAAATCACATTGTTTAGCTATACTGCTTCTTGACAGGGGCCATGCTGCATGTTTTTGATCTTGAATGGAGGTTAAAGAATACCAAGCAGCTGCCAGTGGTTATGGCTGACATTAGAAGACAAGGCTTTGATTTGGGCAGAGAGGGAGAGTATTTGTAATTGGAAAGCCACTGTTGGAAAGTAGTTATAAATAATTCACTATCAAACTGTAGATGCTGGGTGGAATTCTGCTTGTCCATTACTATTGTAATAGCCATTATTATTTCTTCTATTCAATAATAACTTACTTCATTGACAGGAAAATGATAAATGTTACTTAATTTGCAGCCTATCCCTGTTTGAATGGGATGGCAACTATGTTAATGACCTGGGTTAAAATAAAGAATGATCTTCTCAAATTGGAGAAATACTCTGAAAAACAGGATTGACTTCAGTAATGACAAAGGCAAAAATCTGTTGTTAGGTAGAATAATGAACTGCAAAAATAGGGAACAGAGAATGCTAAACTAGGTAATGGTTTAGACTTAATGGCTGACCTGTATTAAGCTTGTGTTCTACTTCATCATGATATTTACACAAGGCAAACATACTGGGTTTTATAAACAGGTATTTTGCCTGTGAAACCCAGAATTATCTTTTGCTCTGTTTGTGGCTCATAAGGCCTCGGCTGAGGCTGTCCAGCTTTTGAGGTGGGAATGGATAGGGAGGATCCAGAGCAGTGGGATAACTGGGTCTGGAAAACATGGACCATAAGAAAAACTGAAGTAACTTGAGCTTTTTGAGGAAGAGGATAATGAAGAGAGACACAAGAAGTATATGCAAGTAGTGCTTCAGAAGGGAAGGAAATGAACTGTGATCTAGCTTGAGGATAGGCTAGAAACAAAAGGCATTTTTTTCTAGCAAGAAAACCTGAATGCTTTCTGATGCCTAATGTAAGAACAAAGGCAATGAATTGTTAAAGTACATACAAGGAGGATGTAGAATTTTTATCATCACTAACATTTTTGTTCAACATTTCCATATTTCTTTGAGAAATTATATAGGTATAAACTGATCTGCCTTCAGGTACCTGTTCAGAGTCCATCCAGCCATATTCTTTTAGGATGTTATAAAAGAATACTCTTGATGGGAAAATTAATTTCAAATCTGATTTGTTTTAGATGCCTAACCATTATGACAACGATTGTCCTACTGCCCCAGTGCCATGTTTTTACAGTGCCTTTGGGTGTCCTGAAAAGGTAAGCCTTTTATCAGAATCATGAATTGCAGACCTTCTGCATGTTTTTGTTACGGTTTGGGGTTTTTTTTTAATGTGGTTTCCTATTCTTGTCTCATTCACCAGCCCAAATCCTCAGTGATTTGTGGGGTTTTTTGTTTTGAGGTATCTTAATTCTATAACACTACAAGTTGATACATTGCCTTTCGAAAGTTCTTTTCAAATTTAAAAAACTCTGAATGATTTGCTTGATGAACTTGCTTTTATTAACCCATGAGTGTTTTCTCAGCTTTCATGTCAGTAAAGTAGCTTCTAGCATTTCTTCCAAAGTTGTGACCAAAGACAGTTATGGCTCTTAAGAGTTCAGTGAAGAAAACCTGATAGTGCTTTAAATTTGATTAAATTCTAAAATTATTTAATCTGGATACTGATTTCTAGTTGTTTAATACCTCTTTGTAAAAATGGATCTTTTCCCTTCATCATTTCCGCATCAGTTTTCAGACACCTTTGTATTTGGTACTATGGAGCATTTTAGCAAATCAATGAAGGGAATACAATGCTGATTTAGAACACAGAAAAAGTACTAAATGTATGTTTATCACTAACACTTTTTCACCATGTCTCTATTTTGAGTTGAACAATATTTGCACACTGGCATTTGAACTTCTTTTTTCATTTGTCATAACAGTGATCTTAAATTTGGAGCCCTCCATTGGTAAAGTGCTACTTTGTCACATCACCAGTCCTTGATTCACATTCCAGTTTTTCTCACATAACAGAAGCAACTAGTTGTTTGATTTTCTTCGGAGCCACATTTAAGATGTGATTGCAGATAATGTTTGATATGTTCCTAATGCCACATCTCTTAAATTCTAGATGCAAAGGAATGAACTGGCACGACATATGCAGGAGTTCACTCAGGTTCACATGAGAATGATGGCTCAGAGTTTTCAAAATATCAGTGTTACTGCTACAAATCCTGTACCCTTCATTAATGGCTTACCCTTTGAGCCTGCCCTCTTCTCACACGTGTCACATGCTGCATATGATTGTAATCCAGAAGTTGAAAACTTCAAAGAAACTATTCAGCAGTTGGAAGGTCGTCTGGTAAGACAAGATCACCAAATCAGAGAACTCATTGCTAAAATGGAGACTCAGAACGCTCACGTGGCAGAACTCAAACGTACTATCCGAAATTTGGAGGGAAAGATTACTGAAATGGAGGCACAGCAATGTAACGGTATTTATATCTGGAAGATTGAGAACTTCAGTGGACTTCAGAAAGCCCAGGAAGAAGAGAGACCTGTTGTGATGCACAGTCCTGGCTTCTATACTGGAAAGCCTGGCTACAAGCTGTGTTTGCGCCTGCATATCCAATTACCAAATGCTCAGCGTTGTGCTAATTTTATATCTCTGTTTGTCCACACTATGCAAGGAGAATATGACAGCCATCTGCCTTGGCCTTTCCAAGGCACTATACGACTTTCTATTTTAGATCAATCAGAAGGCCCTGAAAGGCAGAATCATGAAGAAGTAATGGAAGCCAAGCCAGAGTTACTAGCCTTCCAGAGACCAACAATTCACCGCAATCCAAAAGGTTTTGGTTATGTGACTTTCATGCACCTGCAAACCTTGAAACAAAGAACCTTCGTAAAGGATGATACCCTTCTGGTGCGCTGTGAAGTTCTAACACGTCTAGATTTAAACAGTCTCCGCAGAGAAGGATTTCAAGCTCGCAGTACTGATGGAGCTATGTAGCCTGTAAGTCTTAACCAGAGGAATGGAGCCACTAGTCACGTTCTTCCACCACAGATTACAAGCGTGCTTCATCATCCGTATAGGCTGCATTTGTAAAAGATCATAGTTGCCAACATAGTTGATCTTCACCTGAATAGAACTTTGTTGTTGCTGGTATACTTTTTTTTCTGTATGAGGTCATGTATTCAAATATTTGGTATTGTTCTCTATTAATAAGCTACTTCTGTAGCAAGCTAACTAAATGAAGTGTTGTTAATCAAAACTCAGCTGCCTACAGGAAAATCCTATTGAAGTACCTGTACATCTCAGTGTGGTAAAACTTAAGCCATGTCAGAAAAGACCTGTAAATCTTTTCGCCTCAGTGCCTTGGAATAAATACCATAGCAGGGAAATAGCTAAATTAATAAAGATGAGGGTGGGTTGGTTGGTTGGTTGGTTTGTTTGTTTTTCACAGAGTTGGGAAAGTCAGTGTGGTAAAACTTAAGCCATGTCAGAAAAGACCTGTAAATCTTTTCGCCTCAGTGCCTTGGAATAAATACCATAGCAGGGAAATAGCTAAATTAATAAAGATGAGGGTGGGTTGGTTGGTTGGTTGGTTTGTTTGTTTTTCACAGAGCTTGGGAAAGTTGAGACAGTTTCTGTATTGACTTATCTAGAATTTTGAATTGGCTATGCTTCTCTTGAAATCCGAAATCAGGTTAAGACTTTGCTCACATCACCTAGGGTTTGAGGTATGCTTTGACTCTTCCCTCCTGCAGAGTTAGCTTCAGGAAGTTGCATGTTGATGCAGAGTTGATACTAGTATTTCTGAAAGACGTGGTAGCGTTGTGAAGAAGGCTAAGTGACTCTCAGCTGAGTTCACTGAAGAAATACTTGTAATGTGGTCTGAAAGTGCCCCCCTAATTCTATTTATTTTGATTAATCTTTTTGTAAGTGTGTGCTCCGGGCCCAGAATGTCAATCACCATCACCAGAGAGATAAAAGTGTAGCATTTGAATAAGATACTTTTGTGGTGGTGGGATCTCCTCCTAGTGCTGGACATTTTTCAGGTTGTGAGTGTATACATGAGCAAAGGTATGTACTAACTAGATAGGGTGATGCAGAATTTGTTTTACTGTTGTTGAAACCTGAATTTGTACCAAAGCTGAAGTTGTGACCTGCATCTGTTCAAGTGATCTCTTGGTGTTCTGGGTGATGTATGACCTATGTCATCTCCTATGAATTCTCAGTGGACAGCTGGCTGTATCAACATCCAGCTGTCATGGGTATTTCCTGTCCCATTAGACAATAGGAGCTGGGCCACCCTCAACGCTTTGGAGGGGAAGAAAAGCCTATTAATTAGACAGTGTGAGGAAAAATTGCAGTCCTGTTTGCTGTAAGGAAAAAAATCTGGCTTCCATAGTTACTCATTTACCAAACACTAGATTCACTATGTAAAGAATTCATGAGCTTCCTAATGTTGCGTGTATTATTGTTTTCTGTACTGATTGTTTGTATGCCATATAAATGCTTTGACCAGTCAAAGCTGAGTTATTCAAGTTCCCTGGTGCTAAAAATTTTAACTTATCATGGTGCTCATAAAGTTCTGAATCTTGTCTTTAAAAGGAGGGAAGAAAAAAAGTTTTGTTCACCCCATAACTTAAGTACACAGTCTGATACCGAAGAATGAACTAAGCCATACATAAGCATATGTATATTATTTCTCCAAGCTAGTGAAACAACCTAAAGACTTGAGACACTGCAACTTAAAAGATTCTGAAGAGTATTCCAACTATTTGGCCTCATCAGAGCAATCCCATGGGGATTATCAGTGGGGAAACTGCATATGCTTAATATATACAAGGCTAATGAAAGACTACTACAGTATATTGATTTGGGAGGATACTCTGCCTGCCTGCATGAGATTAAAAGTTCCAGGACCCAGCCTACCACTTTGTTCATCATATCCAGATGAGTAAAATTTATTTTGCAGATAGAGCCTATTAGCTGAAGAGGGATTGTGTTCAATGGATTATTGTCACTACTGAAACATGAACTTCCTGGCTAATGGTAAATGCAGTCAGTCATTGACTTTAGTGTATTCTGTGTGTTTAGAGGACAGGTGAGCATATATTACTCAAAATAGGAAAAGATCCATGCTTTAAAACTGTCTTTTTAAACCTCTTAAGTAGTTTTTATACTGAATAGCCTCATCCTATCAGTGGAATTGTTTTGGAGTGTCTTCAGTTAGAGCATTCCTAGTAGTTAAACCATTCTTAACCAAGAGCTTTTAATGTACGTGACAGTGCCCAGACCCACTATATACAGAAGGCACTGTACGCTAGTTCTCCAATCATTTTCAAGCTATGTTAGTTACACATGTTTTTCCAAGATGCTCAAAAACTACTGTTCTCAAACTACTGTTCTCTTTTTTTTTTTTTTTTTTTTTTTTTTTTTTTTTTTTTTTTTTTTTTTTTTTGCGGGGGGGTAGCAGAAGAAACACTTGTAATTTGAGAGCTTCTTCCTGCTACAGTTCCTTTCTCAACCCTAGTGATATTAACAAAAATGTCCTTAGTCTGTGTTCTAATAGTTTTTACCGAAGACCCACTAAGTGCATTAATACTTTCTTTCCTTTTGAAGCTTTGCATTATGAACTGAATTTTTGCTTCGAGCCTTACCTGCTATATCTCATATACTTCTGCCTTGGGAGGAAACTCACTTTGGTGGCAGGTTCAGGAGTTTAAATGATTCAGGTTAATATTGTAAAATAGCACAAACCAATAGGGAACAGAAAGCTACTGCATGTATAATACTGTATTGGCCACAGTAATATGAATGCTTTATTTACTGCTGCTATTCTACTGGTTTTGTATTTTAATATTGCCAAGTAGAACTCTGAGTGATGCCAAATTACTGTAATGCCAGAGTTTTACATGAGAGACTTTCAGAGCTAATTTGCTAAATATCAGTTAAATCTTTCTGTCATGAAAAATTATAAATGTTAATGAAATGTTTATTCATCTACTTGTTCCATTTTCCTTTTTCTTCCCCCACCTTCCAAGCTACTCTTCATTTTAACTGCAGTTCCAGAGCTTTCTCTTACAAATAAGAATATCACCTTCAGCTAATGGAAGAACTTATGAGTCTACATTGTTACATCTCAATATATAGTCTTCATGACTATTATCTTTTATTCGAACTTTTCTAAGGTTAGCATGAAGAGATTCAGTTTCTATGTGAAAATATATTTTCACTGAAATAGCCTCTTTATTTTCCCCTTCCTCCAGATCTGATCTTTTCTTTTGAGAAATTGTTTTACCATGGTGGATTGAGGTATAATTGCTAGAACTACTTAAATGGAAGCAGAAAGGTATGCAGTGTCAGGAGTTGTCTCTAAAACAAATATGAAGAAATACGGGGATTTAACCAGTTTCCTGTGTAGTTTCTTCAGAAATGGGGTTCTTTTGTTCTGTAACTCCTGGTGCTTTGCAGCATTACTGGCTCTCAAGGTGGTTTAGAAAGTGGCTTAGCTGCTTTTATCTTCCAAATTTCTGTTTTCTTGAACATGTTTAAGTCAGCCACTCTTAGTATGTGTATTTGCAAAGCTGCTATGGCACAAATTTTCCAATTACAATATATTGCAAATGTGTTTTCTTTGCCTCTGAATGTCTTCCCCTGCAGGGCAGGGCAAATTATTTTACTAAAAATGTTGGTATGTAATGTATATGTGGGAGCTCAGATAATGTGACATGTATAGACTTGTTTTTTAAGTGGTCTCATGATATGCCTGGTCATGTTTGCTATCAAGGGATTAAACTTGCTAATGAAATAAAATCAGAGTGGCCTTTCTGGTCTTATTTAGAGATGCTTTCACATCAAATATATTGATGATGGATGCAAAAGACTATTCTGGGGTCCATGTTAAAGGTTTGTATTGGTTTGCATTTGAACAGAATGAAAGTACTCCTGTTCCCTTGGAAGTATCAGTAGATTGTTTAATATATTTTGTAATTCATGCACAGCTATATTTCTGACAGGATTTTAAAAAAATAAAGTAATTAAACTGTGCACTGTATGTTGCATCTTTATTCATATGGAGGGCTATTCAAAAAGATTAACTGATACAGGACCTCTGTGGTAGTTTCTCTGTCTTGTGGGTTTTAGAGTTGGCTGGTTTTTAATGAGGGAGACCATGTATCATATAGCACCAAGAAGGCAAAGAATATATTTCAAGATAAACTTCTGTCATTTATAAAGGGTAGCAATAGTTTTATTCATTACTAGAAGACGGAGCTAGTGTAACTGATAATAAACTAAGTGTTCTCATGATCATGCTGTAATTTAAGATGCAGCTCTGAAAAATACTGCACACTATCACCTCTCTGGCCACATCCTGCTTGCTTGTTATATTGGTTACAAAAACAACTATGGGTTGAAGCTTTGTTGCGAGATACTTAGAACAGAAATCAAAGGGAGTTCCTCTGTCAATAGGAGAAGTAAGTGTTTGCTTCATGGCAATCTGCTAATTTATCTCAACCACAGAAGCAGTCTGGAGCTGTTTTTTTAACAGCATCTGCAGGAAGGGAAATCTTGATCTCGGACTCTGTGCCCTATAGAGTGTATAATGTTCAAGACACTCAAATTCTTCTGAGGAAACTTAATGGTATTTACTAGACATAATATCTAATGCAGTGCAGTTAATGTCAAGTTAATGATGACTTTATCTTTCATCCAAGTTGGTCCTAATAGCTTCCGTGAGTAATGAATAGGAAAACATGCTCAGATACCAGTAGCTGTTGTGTTAATCCATTTTTAATGCTCCATATTTTTAAGTGCACTAAAATCTTCTTTTGATGAGATGAATAGTGGCCTTTTTTTAAACAGGAAAAATAGGCATATGCAGCTGCACCTATGAATGGAAAGTCAACATGCAGAAATAGAAGATGCCAGCAATATAAAAGTATGTTCACACCCATGTAAATACAGATGTCTCATGTACCTGTACACTTCTGAAAAAACCTGGCTTCATACTACTAAACTAGATGTGGACCAGGATATTCTGGCTAAATATTTTATTGGACAAATACCAGTTAATTGCAGCAACTTCACAGGAAGAATGTGTTTGTTTTAGCTAAAATCCTTACTAGTGCAAAACCAGCTGCTCTGCTGCCTTACTCATCCCCAAAAAGCACTAGCCCAGCACTAAGGCTGTTCCATCTGGAAGGAGAAAACTCATTGTGCAATTCCTTACTACACTATCCTGGGTGTGTACACACAGTGCTAGACTTCAGCTCTTCTGTGCTGCATCTTTCATTTAGATGCTGTGACTATTAGGCCTCTTCCAAGGCAGCATTTACAGAAGTCAACAAAACTTACAAAATTAGCCCCAATGAGGGTTGACTATGCTATTAACGTGCAATAAATAATACAAGGCAATAGAATGGGAGGTTAATGGACCAAAATGGTAAGTAGGGAAACTAGGCCTGTCTGGACAAAATGAGTAAGATGGCTGATGAATTCTGCCTGTTGCACATTTTTTGGGTTTGTTTTTATTCTTCCTGAGCCAAAAAAAGCCCACCCCAAACCTCAGACTCGCACTTACGCTACTCAAAGAGGAAATTGTTACGCTAGCAGGAAAAATGACCAAAGGAAACACACTTTACTGTCTCGCCCTCATCATTTTCCCACCACTAAGCCTTTGCTCCATCCTGGCTGGACTGAGTGGACCCTGGTGCCACCACCACCCTTATAGGATCTTACCTATTACCACCCAGAGTCTTAGTGACCTGGAATACAAAATTTCCAGATCTGTAGCCTTCATGTCTTTTTCCTTTACTGGTTTTAATTTTTTTCAGTTAAACCTAACCTCCTTGATAAAAATACATGTCTCTGAGCACAGAGGCAGCCATTTAACAGTTACTTTAAGCTTGCCAGGGCTCAGAGCGTGTGAAGAGTTTGTGCTACTTCTGCAGTCTTTTCCAGTTCACAAACAAAAACAAAAAAAACCACCCACAGATGGAACTGTCCTTGTTTCTCCTGTTCTCTCTTTTTTCATTTCCTCTTGCCTGCAAGGAAGCAGAAAGAGATTCTGTAGTAGTAGTCATAGCTTGAGTCCACCCTCACTCATATTTCATTCCAAGCAGAACTGTTATTATTACTGCTTCTCATCCCCTCTAAAAGACTGCAATTTTCTCTATTTCAAAGAAATACATGATATTGTACAAATGAATTTACCTTGTTATTTTATGATGGAGGAGGAGCAGATAAAGACTGAGATACAGCATCGTGAAGATAATCTTTCTGCTCAAAACCTGGGGCCCTGCTTCACTGTCTAGTCTTTTGGCAATCATGTTCTTCAAACTCGTTCGCTCCACTGAAACAAGTGCTCGAGTTTCACAGCTCTGAAAGGCTGGATTTGGTTGGATTTTTTTCCTCTCAGATGGAATAGGAAAATTTCTGAAACTGTGTGAGACGAGGGGACTGTGAAACAGGAAAATAATTTCCCTATTAGCTGCAGTCCCAGCCTTGACCGATGAGCCTCCTTTTCTTTCCGGTTTGTGCTCTGACTGATCTCTGAGCCAATACAGCCCATGAAGGTTCCTGAGTTTAGTGATTTCATCCTGCTCCTTTGTCCCAATCAGCTCTTCATTGCCTCCTGGAGCTAGCTGCTTTCCCATGCAACTGTGGGTAGTTATTTCGGCTGGCGCACAGCCCCTGTGGAACCAGTCACCCACTGCTGAAGGAGGGGGAAAGCCCTGGTCTATTCACAGTCCCGATGATCCTAGCTGATAGCTTCTCACTGAGGTACCAGTGGGTTTGACTTGGCTCAGCCAGACCTAACAGGTACCAGCCTGTAGCAAAATTAATTCATAGGCCATATGTATGTTTTCTGGTGGCTTTTGTCCAGGAGACTTACCCCGCTCAACAGTGAAGGGGCTAAGGCATAAATAGAGCAGTGTTTTAGCAGTTGGGTACTGACAATTTTGGGAAAAAAAAAAAACCCTCCTGCATTCTCTCAGCTTATTAAAAGCAGAAACAATAGCTTGCTAAAAACCCTTTGATGAACTGTCCAAAAACAAGTTTTCAGTTTCTTATCCCTCCCAGACAGAACCTG